AAGCTGCGGCAGGAAGATCGTAAGTTCAAAGCCAGCCTCAGCAACTTAGAGAGGCCTTAAAGAACTTAGTGAGACCCTGTCTCAAAATAAAAAGGGCTGAGGRTGTGGCTCAATGGAAGAGTATCCCTAGGTTCAATCACTAGTACCAAAAAATAAAAAATCAGATGGCAGTAATGGTTGTACAACTCTGCAAATACACTAAAAACCACTAAACAGTATACTGTAAATGGGCGAAATTTATGGTACATGAAGTAGATCTTGATAAATCTTTTTTTAAAAAAAAGAAACATACAGGCATATTTTTTACTGTAACAGATAATGCCAAATTGTGGATTTTCTCACAGTGATTGCAAAGCATCATTTCACCACTAAATATGGGGCCTATATTACATGATCTTCATCTCTWAAAAAAAAAGRAAAGAAACTTGGTTTGTTCAGCAAATAAGTGTTGGGCCTCTACCACGTGTAGGCACAGTCTAGGAGCTAAAGATTCAGTGAGATGAACTATGCTGTCCTCAAACCCACAGCCAGGGGTACCCTGGAATGCAGTAGCACTCCTGTCACCCTCAAGCCCTCACCAGAAATTGCAATCCACCATCCTCTTTCCTGACCTCCCCTTTCTAGCACCCAGTTTCTCTGCCCAAAGCACAAACTGTGCTTATAGCTAAAGAAGTCTGGTCTGCTCCTAACCAGGCATCAGGCACTTAGAGGCCATGTGCTGGAGGAGCCAATGGGTCACTGGGCCTGGGCTCAGACATCAAGAAGCCCACAGCTAAGCAAAGGCAGACTGGAGCCTGCACAGAGGAAGGGCTCAGGGCACTGGCACACAAGATCCTGTCCAGAAAACAGCACACTATGGCATCATCACAACCCAGCTAGCTAACATTTCACTCTCCCCAGTAGGTGCCAGGCACTTCCATGTCACCCACACAGCCATCGATAAAATAGGTATTGTCATCAAGGAGAAACTGAAGCTCACAAAAGTTAAATGGCTTACACAAAGCCACGCATCTAGTCACATGGGGGTTTATACAGTCCTTCCAACTAGCAAGCCCAGGTTCTTCCCACACCAACAGGCAAGACTTAATAAAGGGCCTTGGCTTGGGCAAGGTCCCTGTGGCCAGAATCTGGATCTAAGTTTCATAGAGCTAGAGCAGTCTGGGGTACCCACAGATTTATAAGGAATGATGTAAACTGACCTAATTCAACAAAAGTCTAAGGACAAACTGGACTCCAGTTTAGACTTTAAAACTGGGAATTGGAAATTACCAAGCAGAAGGGCCCTTCAAAAAGTACATTAGAGTAAAAAAGGTATGACTTTATCCTAGGAATTATCCTCCTGCATGTGACCACCAAATGGAAACTCTGCCTCTCTCAGGACAGTTTAAGGATATTTTTGCCACTCTTCAAGGGCCAGTTCAGTGCCAGGAGCTCTGTTAGATAGATCCTCCCCAAATCCTCTCAACCTTGAATTAGTTCAGAGAACTAGTTGGAAAGCTGGACAGCTCTGGAGTCAGCGAGCTTAGACAGTAGTCCTAATTTGATCATGTACGTGTGTGTGTGTGTGTGTGTGTGTGTGTGTGTGTTCCCAGACTATTCACCTCTCAGAGCCTCAGTGGTACCACTTGTAACAAGAGGATATTTGTTATTCAATGATTTCACAAAAATCATGAGCCCCTATTATGCCAGGTACTAGGATGAGAACTGGGGTTACAGAGATGAACAAAATACAGTCCTTGCTCTCATATGGGTCCCCATCTGATCTGGGCAACAAATAAGTTAACAGCCAGTGGCTTCAGTGCCCAAAACAGGAGCCACCAGCCACAAGGACCCATTAAGCACTTGAAATGTGGTTCATCTAAGTTCAGAAGGGCTATAAGTGAGTGCAAAATTCATACCAGATATCAAAGATTTAGTAAGATTGAAAAAGAATGGAAAATATCTCATTAGTACTGACTACAAATTAGTTGATAATATATGGAAATATTAGGCTAAATAAATAAATTATTAAATTTACCCATTTCGACTGGGGAATTTGCTCAATGTCTGAGGGCTTGCCAAGCATGAACAAGGCCCTGATTTTCATCCCCAGCACCACAATTAAAAAAAAAAAAAAAAAAAAGAAAGAAAAAAACACCTTTTCATCACTTTTTTTTAATGCAGCTACTAGAAAATTTTATGTAACTTATGTCGTATTCCTATTTGACAGTCAGTCCTGGTCAACAAAATTCAGTGAGATCAACAWGGGCTAAGACAGGTCAATGACAGGTAAGGGTGGTTGGAAAGTTTCAGATGGCCCTGATGAGAATGGTGAATGTCAGCAGGGTTTCCCAAAAATGACACCTAAATTGAGACCTGAAAAATGATGTGTTAATAGGACAAAGGGCAAAGGGCAGTGGGGAGGGTAATCCAGATAGCAGGTACAGCAAGTGCCCAGGTCTGGCAGTAAGAAACGACATGGCAGCCAGGCATGGGGAAGGGGCTCAGGGAGGAGGCAGAGTTGGGAAATTAGGCAGAGAGGAGGGCTACAGAAGCAGATGGCGCCAGAGTATGAAGGACCCCAGAAGCCCTATTAAAGAGCTTCACCCTGAAAATGGCAGGGAGTCATGGAGGGTAATGGCAGTTACCAGGTATGTAGGTAGCACCTGGGTCATGCAAAGGCAAGGAGGGGAAGGAAAGGAATGTTTGCAGATCTGCGGAGTTTCTACTGTAGGTCAAACATGGGTTAAACCCTTTCAGACTCATTTTAATTCTTATGCCAACCCTGAGCTTTAAATGAGTCCATTTTACAGATGGCAAAAACTCAGCTCACAAGATGAGTGGCTTGCCCAGGGTCACAGGATTGTCAGTGAAAGAAATGGCATTGAACCCAGTTAAGTCTGGGTCCCAAAGCCCAAATGTTTCCCACCAACACTGAGATGAAAAGAACTCTCTGAGATGAAAAGATCAGATTTATGTGAACAAGTAAAAAACAAAGCTTTTGAGTGTATTAAAGACTATTAGATGAGTGAAGGAAGTCAGGACAATCTGGTGAGAGCCAGTGTGGTAAAATGGAAAGACAGAGACAGGATGGACTTTCACAGGATCCAATTAGCAGGAGCTTCAAAGGGACTTGCTCTCTGCCTAATATCCAGCAGGTTCTCAATCAACAGAGTATCCCAATAAACTCTACTGTCATGTATAACTAAAAAGAATAAATAAAATAAATAAGTAAAAATAGTAACCATTTTCCAGGTTTGCCCAAGGTGGAAACTGTTTATGTCTATCTTGCTATCCAGGCATAAGTATTAACTATGCCCACTTCACTCTTAAAAGCATCCTGGTCTGCATAACAAATAACATGGTCACCTTTCAATTAGGCTCTGTTGACTAAAAACAGCAGCCTGTCCTACAGAACTGGATAAACACTACAGGTTCTCAGGGCTCTCCTCCATTTCTTCCTACCCACTCTACTACCAGGAGTCCAGAACAATCAAAGGAACCTAGCCTGGAGCAGTCTAGGCCTCCATCAAGTCTACTACAGAAAGAAGAGACTCCGGCAGGACCATTGGGGGTCACTCTCAGCCAACATTCCTGATTTCTACCACTATTGATAATATAGGTTCAACATCCCCAATTTGAAAATCCAGAATCCAAAGTACTCCGAAATTCAAAACTTTTTGAGCACCCATATGAAAGTCCACAAAGTGAAAATGCTACACCTGACCTCAGGTCACGGGTCCCAGTCAACATGAAGGCACATTAAAAATACTGTACAAGGGCTGTTGTTGTAGCTCAGTGGTAGAGCGCTTGCCTAGCACATGTGAGTCGATGGGTTCAATCCTCAGCACTACATAAAAACAAATAAAGGTATCGTGTCCATCTCAACTAAAAGAAAAAAAATTAAAATACTGTACAAAATTACCTTTAGGCTTTGTATATGTGAAACATAAATAAATTTCATGGTTTTTTTGGTGGGTTTTTTTTTTTTTTTGCACTATGGATTGAACTCAGGGGCACTTAATTACTGAGCCACATCCCCAGACCTTTTTATGTATTTTATTTAGAGACAGGGTCTTGCTAAGTTGCTCAGGGCCTCCCTAAATTGCTGAGGCTGGCTTATGAACTCTCCATCCTCCTTAGCCTCCGGAGCTGCTGAGATTACAGGTGTGCACCACTGTGCCTGGCAATAAATTTCATGTTTAGACTTGGGTCCCATCTTCAAGTTATCTAATTATGTATTGCAAATATTCCAGAAATCCAAAAAAACTACAAAATACAAAATTCCTAGCATTTCTGATCCCAAGCATTTCAGATAAGGGCTACTCAACCTATTGTAGTAATAATAAGGCAACACAGTATACTTTTTTTCAGCACTGGTACCAGGCCCTACACTTGTCAAGCAAATTTCCAGGCAAGCATCACTTCTTTTAGTCCTCACACCAATGATAATGTGAGGGTATCACCACTAGCCCATTATACTGATAGGAAAGCTGGTCAAATCACTTTACCACCATCACACAGCTGGTCAGTTTACAGGACTGGATTGGATTCCAGTTCTGTCCATCTCCATCCAAGGTTCTTAACCATTACACTCCATTACCTCTGTCTGCATAGCCACTGTGTGTCCCCCATAAACAAAGTCTAGACAGACATAATGACTACATGCCTCATAATGAATCACCAGTGCCCTCGAAGCCCCTCCCTGTCCTCCATCCAGCCCCCACAGATGGCAGACTCCAAACGGTTCTCTCTCACCCGACTCTTTTATAAAACCCTTTAYCTGTTTGTCCTCCACAACCTCTTCAAAAGTATGTCCCCAAGTATCAGCCTAGTGCAGTGTAGGTGGGGACCCAGAGCCCACAGTATCAGCAGGTGGGCTCTCCAGAGACCCTTCCCGAAGGAACCCACCCAGTGCACTGCCCCTGGCCACTCTCAAACACCCTCAATAGCAAACTCCAAATCCGGTTAGGGAGAACCCCCATCAGTGGGGACCCCGGCCTCCAATGTCGCGGCCGCACCTGCAGCCGCTGAGCGTCCCGGGGAGGGTGACGTCCTCTTCCAACACGGAGTCCATCATGGACACAGAGGCATTGGTATCTGTGGCGAAGGCGCCACTGGTTCCGCTGGCTTGTCGCGATCCGCCTGGCTCCCAGGTCCCCGCCCCCTCTAACCCAGCTCTTGTTGGGACTCCGGCGGCGCCGCTGGAATTCAAACCGCAGCCGCCGCCATCTTTCCGGCCGCTTCTTCCTACGGAAATGAGGCGGGGTCGACGAGGCGCGCGCAGTGAAGCCAATCTGCTAAGGCCAGAGGCCGGGCAGGGACAGGTGGGCAGGCGCCATCTTAACTAAGGGCAGAGCTTTTTCGCTTGGGCCGTCCAAAACTAAGGAAGGAGAAGCTGGATGCCATGTTTTTTTAGGGCACCCAGGCTGAGGCCAGGACCGGCGCCATCTTTGTTGAGGGTGRACGCTGGTCCTGATCCGTTAATTTAAGCGGGAGCTGAGAATATAGCTCACCGCAGCTCAGAGTTTCTTAACCAATGTTTGCTTTTCTAGAACCTTGGAAACTATACACCAAAGAGTCTTCTTCTCGAGTTGAAACTCAGATATATCAGGTACTGCTTCGCTTTAGAAAATTTCTGCCTGCGGGGTCCTAAAGTAAGCGTACTTTGCACACAGTTTGAAACAACTCATCCCCCAAGCCAAGTGGCCAGCCATACTCCCACTCCAAGCTCGCATTTAGTGATCTTTTGTTACCATTGAGACTCGCACCTACAATCTGTAAATAGGCCCAATCAGTAAACTCGCCCAAGTTAATTACACAGTAAATTTACTGTCAATTGGAGCCAGATGTGCTGCTCCTGACAACTGGATCATGGCTCTGGGTGTCTTTCTTAATGCACAGCCTGTCTTTCCCATTTGTTTCTTTTACTCCATCTTAGAATTTGGGACTAAGACATGCGGTCTACATCCAGACAACACAATATTTAAGTGGTTTGTTGGCCTCTTTTCCTAAAGTAATGGCTTCAGGGTGGCTAAGAGGTGAGTTTTAGTGGGGACGGTGTGACTGCCGGACTGGACATCTGCGTGCCTGGATTCTGAGTCCAGTTCATCCTGTAACCTGGAGATATCTTACCCTTGCTGCACCTAGGTTTCCTCATGGATAAAGTGAGGCAGATAATGTCAAGCTCACATGGTTGCATTTTCTAATGAGATACTTAAAGTATTAATCCGTTGCCCTATTCAGCAATACCATGCTCCTAGATTATGTGCTAACCCCGCCAGTGATCCTGGAAACTGAAAATAGAATTGATTGCACAAAGGAAAGTCTATGTGGGAAGTTGTTTTTTCTTCTGCAGTAGAAACACACAGTAGTGTTTCATGATCAGAGACAGAGGCCTTTGCCCTGTCTGTCTCACTATAGCTTTTCTTGCTGCCAAGCCTGGAGGCAATATTACCGCTACCAGCTGTTTGGACTGTCTGAAGCCATCTCCTTGACAGCGGCCATCCAGCCACAAAGCTGGCATTATTATTTCCTTGAACAAGGTCACTGAATGGCTGAAAAGAGCTTACATCTAAAAGTCCTTTATCTGGGGCGGAACCCTTCTGAAATTCTTCATCCACTGAGTTTAACATCTATGGGCAATTCTAACTCAAAATAGTTTTTGGAGTGGTATGTGCCAATTTGATCATTTTTGTCCCCGTCATTCTTTCTCTATTAATTGGAATTCTACTGTATGGAAAAGCTGCTTCTTCTCCCCCATTTATTCATTTATTTGATTGTTTATTTACATCAAATATGGACTCATGGCTATAAGTGTTATTTTATGTGTTATAATTCCTTACTATCATTATGTGTTTTGTTGCATGATCCCAATTTGGCCATGATGCCCTTCTAGCACATGGCTGTGCCACAATTCAAGCCTAGATCTGTCTGGTCCCAAGGTCAGCAGTATTTCCTGGAACACCAACCTGCCCCTTTGCTTTCAAGAACTTGCCTAAACCAACCCTTGGCATTAGCAGTCCTTGTTAGGGGCCAATTCCAATGAATATGCACTGTCTTCTCAAAGCTCTTTGGTGTACCAAGCCACTGATGCCTCTGAGGCCAACATCTAGCCCAAAGCTATGGACACAGTAGGTGCTCAATGCCAGTTTGTCAAATTAACCCCAAGCCAGACTTTGCATCAAGATGGAAAGAGGAAGGCTATGGTTGTGGCTCAGAGGTAGAGCACTCGCCTAGCATGCGTGAGGCACTGGGTTCGATCCTCAGCATCACATAAAAATAAAGATGTTTTGTCCACTGAAAACTAAATATATGTATATATAAATTCTCTCTCTCTTTAAAATAAATAAATAAATAAAAATAAAATGAAGATATTGTGTCCACCTAACACTAAAGTAATATTTTTTTTAAAAGATGGGAAGAGGAGAGTGACTATAGTGCACAGCAAACTACAAGATATTTGAGAACAAGTAGAAGAGAAGAGCTCAAGTCTCCAAAGAGAAGAGCTCAAGTCTCCAAACAAAAAAGCATTAAGGAGCTGGAAGTGCTAATCACCCTAATGCAATCAGCACATACGGCACATATGTACTAAAATAGCACAAATATGTTAAATTATTAGGTGTTAATTTAAAATAACTGAAAGATAGGAAGAGGAAAGAGCAATACCCCACATCAAAGGAGTAGAATGTGGATTATTAGATTAAAAAGGGTAGTACACATCAACATGAGAAGACCTTAGACTTGGAATTCAACTCTCTGGGCCTGTTTTCTTATCTTTATATTGAGTGCTTCAGACTACAATATTGAGGCCCCCTCAGCTCTGATGTTCCATGAATAACTGACATCAGCCACCATGTATTGAGCTGTCTGTACCAGGCACGGTACTGAGTACACTCAATCCTCACAATCATCTTATGAAACAAGGACTGATTATGCCCAGTGTTATAGTTGACAAAGCTGAGGTTCAGCAAGGAGAAGGATCTTCTGGCCATGGGAGGAAATCCAAACATGCCATCCTAAAATACATTGCTTTGGCATAAGGATGATGTTGAACTAAAGGCAGTTGAGAATCAGCAATATACAGGAGGAATTCTCTGCCTTCCCTTTTCTGTCTAAAAACAAGGCATATGTTTGCCTTTATGAATCTCTCACCCCCTCCATTCATTTCCCCTGTAGACTCCCAGTCACTGCCCCATGACTTGTCATCCCTTGAAGCCGGAACTCCATTTCCTTTGTTAAAACAGCACATAAGCCAGGCATAGTGATGCACACCTGTAATCCCAGTGGCTTGGAAGATTAAGGCAAGAGGATCATGTGTTCAAAGCCAGCCTCAGCAACTTAGTAAGACTCTGTCTCCAAATAAAATATAAAAAAATGCCTGGGAATATGCCATGTGGCTCAGTGGTTGAGCCCCTGGGTTCAATCCCCAGTATTAAAAAAAAAAAAAAAAAAAAGCAGCATATAAGCTCCCACATCTAACTACCTGTTTGACTTCTGTGAACTCCTATACACAGAACTATTAGTGCAGACTGTACATCTTTCCTCCTGTTAATCTGTCTTTTGTTAGTTTAATTCATACCTCTCAGTACTAAGCCTAAGAGGGTAGAGGAAGATTTTCCTCCTTGGCACCGTCTAAGCAGCGAGGTGGGGGAGCTGTAGTGTGAACCCATGCTCTTAGCCATAGGCCCTCTCATGAGTTGCTGGAATCTCTGCCCTCAAGAAGCCGGCTCAAGTACACAAATGATACAGCAAAGTAAAACACCTTAAGTACTTTGTTGATACAAGGAAAATAACTTAAGATTCTAGGGGCACCCAGAGAAGGGATGGAATCATTCTGATGGAGGGATTAGAGAAAGGTCTTTTACCAGTAAGATCCAGGCCCCACAAAAACAGCATTGAAACCCTATCAACAACAGAGTACACTGTTTTGAGTCTCACTTTTTGAGGCCCACAGAACAGTTCTGAGACAACTGTGTCATTCTTCTATGGATAAGGAAATTGAAGGTCAGAGACAGGAACTGATTTTCTCAAAGTCACACAGAAAGCTAATTACAGAGAAAAGAACTTGGATTTCAGTTTTGTTTTCTGAAAGCTGGTACTCCTAAGCTTTTTGAAACTTACAGATGGCATAGATGCATCCCAAGCCAAGATCTCCCTGCCTAAATTGATGATCCTCAGTACCATGGCCAGATCTCTGGGCATCTAAGCCCTGGGTCTAGCTGTAAGAGAACCAAATGCTATTGAAAAAAATTATCCTCAGATGCCAGGGAGGCCTTTCAAGCACCCTCTCCAGCTCTACATTTGAATATGTAAAAGAGCAATCATTCCAGGCGAAGAAGGATAATCAAATAAATTAATTCTCTGGACATTTTGCAGTTTAAAAGATGCACTCACAGCCTTTAGACTTTTGGGAGAGGACTGTAAAGTTCACCTCTCTCTTAACGGCAATGAACTCACATTAGAGGGCAGGTCAGGGCCTAGGAAGGCTGGGAACTTCCTCAGAAGGATGAGGGCAGGGCTGCTTTGCTCTTGCAGGAACCTCCCTCTCTGGCACACCAGAACACTGTAAGGGTACTTTGAGCCAAAGGATGAGGAGTGCAGGCCCATCTGCCCTGCTTGACAAGTCATGAGTCCCTCCCAAAGAAGAGCTGCCTGTTCCACCCTCCCACAGGGAAACTCCCTGTGCTAGTGGTTTATCATCTGTGATTCCTTCCCCTTCTATGCCTAATTCCCAGGGTCCTTCCAACCACAGTTCAAGAAGAAGCCTGTTGGAGAGATGCCTTACTCTGGACTCCCACAACACCCTGAACTGATCTTCTTTGTGAGTCTTATCCCAGCTCCATAATTGGCTGTTAGGTTGGCCATCTTTCCTATGATCCCGTAAGTTCCTTGAGATGAGGATCTTATTTCAAGTCCATTTTATTGAAATGGAGTTTATATACAATAAACTGGATTCCGTTTAAGTATACCTGCTGAGGAGCTTTGGCAAAATACACACCCACGTAGCCACCACCCATCAACTGTGCTCTCCAATGGAACTTGGTTAACAGAAATATTCTAAATTTTTGGTGTCTTATAGTCACTAATTACATATGGCTATTGAACTCTGGGAAGGTGGCTGCTTGATGAAGGAACAGAATTTTTAAATATTTTATGTAGTTAGCTTAAATAGCCCCGTGAGAACAGTGGCTACCACATTAGCATAGGAATAAAACATTTCTCTCACCTCAGAAGT